CAACGTGACGTGGCTGCCCTCTGTCTTTTCTACAAATATTTTCATGGCAACTGCTCTGACGATTTTTTTCCCTGGTGATCCAACTACATGAATTTAAGCGTGCTACTAGATTAGCATCTAGGTCCCCCCTTTTAACTGTTGAAATAGTTAAATGTAACCGCCACTTCTACTCCAACAGTTTCTTTTCTCGCATTTCCCGACAGTGGAACTCCTTCTCGTTTACTTGCTTCCCTGAAAATTACAATCGTCAAAAAATTAGTTGCAACGTCAATCGTCATCTTCTGTTGTCTTGAGCCCCGTTCATTATTTTATACTTTCCTCAATCCCCCCCCCACTACAGTCATTTCTATCACTTTCACTTCCTGTAATCCCCTGCGTACTAGTAGCCTTATCACCTTGATTGGGGTGAAATGATTATAAAAAAAAAGACGTTTTCAGTCTTGAACTTTTGACAATTCTAACAACTGATGGATAGATAAAAAGAATGTGGACATAGGAATTTACTATACAGTGTTGACTCCTATGCCTACAAATGTCTATATAGCCACATATTCGACCACATATGTATATACATGCATACACACACGCGCCAGCGCGCACGCATATATATTAGGTAATAATCAGATTCATTACAATGGATTATAACCGACGTTTACTCTTAATTTATTGCATTTATGTTGAGTTAAATGGAACATATATATATATATATATATATACGTTTTGAACGATAAAAAATATTTAAAAATTAAGATTTTCAGACACATTGGATTGTATATTAATATTTTTTGATTTATTATTTCAATTACATTCCTCGACTAGTTTCAGCCAGCAATGGCCATCATCAAAATAGTTGCTCGTATACACACACACACACACACACACATATATATATATATATATATATATATATATATATATATATATTGTTAAATATAACAGATAACAGACAACGACTGTTTATTATGTTTTATCATGAGTCTTTCCAAGCGTCAATGGCTTTAGTTTCAAAAGAAAATAAAAACAAAAACTGTCCAACACTTGGTCGTCAATCTAAGCTTTCGGCTCACCTGAGCCATCATCAGTGGTTATATAGATATATACAACAGAGATTTTCACCATCAAATATGACATATTGTTTTGTTTATATAGAAGTTTGCGATGCGACGATAACGGTCGTGGAATAGCAGACGCAGGTTGTAAATTCGTAATGCTCTTATAAATCTATGACGTCATACATGGACACGTGAGAGAACATATGTTTAAATGTATTGTAATGTGCTGTGACTGGTTTGTTAATCTAATTTAGTTCAGTGTGGGTTGCTTTGTTTTAATGTAGATGACCTCCAATAAATGAAGTTTCTTTTTACTCTGTATATGTGTAATATAATAAAGAAAATATCCAAATGTTGGACAGATTTTGTCTTGAAACTATACAACGCTTAGAAAGGCTCATGATCAAACGTAACAGACATTCGTTGTCTGTTATATTTAATAATATATGTTTGAATAATGACCTGCTGCCCTATACACTATGTATATATATATATATATATATATATATATATATATATATATATGTGTGTGTGTGTGTGTGTGTGTGTAATATAAGTGTGGAAGTGGATACTTCATTTTCTTTTTATACATACCCACGTGTGTGCGTATATGAAGAAAATGATGTATTAAACCGTTTTATCATTTCATGTGATGCAAGTATTTTTAACGTCTTTACAAAAAATTTTAAATGTGATTTCAGAACTATTCAAATGAGAAAGACGAAATCGATATTCTGAATTAATTTCAATTTCTATTTTGTGAAAGTTTTTTTTTCATAAGCTTGAAAGGTTTTGGTAAATACTAAATAATAATAAAGATACTAAATAACTAGAAATACACCCGCCAATCCAGTGATTATGGAATAACACACATTGTATTGCGGTAGCCACGAATCAAGTTCGTCTTTCGAAATGCAGATAAACATAAAGAGAAAAATAGAATACAAATACTGCTGATTTCTGCATTCAATTTCCAAATTTGTCGACGTAAACGAAGATTTAAGTTTAATTGGTAATGTGTCATTAATGCGTCTTCCAATAGACGTTATTTAACTTCGATTTATACAACAACAAATATTCACGAACATTTCAAGGCATCAAAAAAATATTACAAAAATAAAACATAAAATTTTACGAAGTAAAATCAAAATGATTAAATTAGAACAGCCAACTGAAAAGCCAACTGAAAAGCCAACTGAAAAGCCAACTGAAAAGCCAACTGAAAAATATGGTAAACTAGCAACGTCGAATTAAAAGCAATGCTTTCAAATGTTTTCGCAGTTTTTCTCGAGTTTTTCATCGAGTTTTTTTCATGAATTTATTTCCATCAATGCATATTTACTGTAATGTTTATTATTATGTTTAGCCTTTACTTATCAAAAAAACAAAAAAAAAACAATTGCGGCCAATTTAATACGCTGGGCACACCATTTCTCAAGAATTTAACAATTCTTGTACTGAAATCAGCAAAATCTATTTCGTTTGAAAAAAGAAAAAGGTAGTTTGGCATTCATTTATACAGATAAAAGTTGTTGTTCTACAAGGATTCGGGAATAAAACGTTTGCTATAAATTCTCTTTATCTGCCATATTTGAGTATACAGTTAACCTTTTAGTCATTGTCGAATTTGATCACTGCGCGTAGCAGAAAATTTGGGCGGCAATTTCACAAATGATGCGTTATATTTTGGACAGATTCACGAAAGTATGATTAGCTCATGTATTGAATGTTCCTTTAGCATTGGAAAAATAGTATTATCGTTTTTCATTCAAGTTTCATTAACAAAACCTTATGCTTTATTTGGAAGAATTTATTGAAGAAAGCAGGTATGAACTCTGTTTTCAGTAATTTTTATTTAATAAAAAGTTTTTACGACTCGAATAGTATGAGTCGCTTTTTTAAATATTCATGAAAAAAACTGATTGAAAAACTGAGTAATGGTATAGTTTTCAACTTTAAAACTGAGTCACAGTTTTAGAGTGAGTAATTTTTGTTTAATAATGACACTGACACTAGTGGTTCCAGCATTTAAATATCAGTTAAGTATTGTTATTGTATGATAATCCATTTGTTCTTTTGATCTGATTGCTCCATGAATCGATCGTTTGCCAAAAATTACATTTGCCACCAAATAGTTATTCACATAATTTTTGCTAAATAGGGTTGGTAATTTCGCGGATGGACGATCTAAGTTTTAGCAAATCTAATCCGACATTACAGCTAGAAAACGTGCAGCGGTTTCAATCTAAGTTTTACTATTATCCTTGAATTTTAATCAAGGTTGATCATTTTTTTCTCTCAAAATATTTAGCCACTTACGAGAATGAGAGCTTTAAAAACAAATTTCGATTTGTATATTGCGTTTTATTATAGACTCAGTATAAACAGTTTATAGTTTTAGATTTGTATTTTGAATTTACGCATAACAGATTAAAATTTTATTTTCAATGAAAAATTTCGTGCTGAATGAACTGTCTTTCTTTTGTTTCTAGCTAATAAAAAATGAATGTTTTATAATCAAACTGCAATGACAACAGAAAAACTGGAAGAAACATCAAAAGTATTTCATTTTAAAAAGTGTTTGTCATAAATAGTTTTGGGATTGAGTAAAGGTTCAAGAGTCACTCTTAAGTTTTGATACTATTCTATATTGCAGTAATGCAGACAAAATTTACGGAAAAATTTAATATAGAATATGAATGAAAGAAGAAACATACATTGTTTTAAAAGAAAATCCATAAAAAAAGATTTGAGAACTTTGAAGAGTTTCATTTATGCTGGAATGGATTTCAGGACGGCAAAATTAAAACAAAAACACGCTATTATAGAATATATTTTTAAAAAAATAAAACGCTATTTAGTTGGAGAAAATCTATAATGTTCAAAGGGAATAATTAAATGAAAAATAAATCAGTACCTACAACAGAAGATTTTAGAAAATAATTTCTAATTAATTATATAAATTCAATTTTTTAAAATATTCTTTTTTTAACAGGTCATTTATTTTCATGGCTACTCGGAGACATTTGTATAGAGACGTTGCAATCATGTAAACGCTGATTCTCTCTAAAATATAAACCATGAATATAAGAAATCTTTTTGATGATTAAAAACGGTCCATTGCTTTTATTTTGTTGTTAGAAATACCATGAGTCCAGGAGAGATTTTCTTAGATATTTTCTTAGCCAGTGACAACATTTATCATGACGAATATTGTTGCTAGAATTAACGACATGATCACACTCTTCAATATTTGTTGTCGCGTTGATTATATTTAATTCAGGTATTTCTTATAATTTACATCATTATTTGGTTTATTAAATTTTTTCTGCAATGTTTTTTCAGAGTAACAGTGAGCAATAATTGGGATCAAATCGAGCAGGAACTTCGGCAAGGCAAGATCGGCAATGAATTATGGTGGACGAGAAAACGAAATAACAATAAATACCGAAAAATTATGATTACATAATACCAAATATAATAAAAAGAAACCAAAAAAAAAAATCAAGAAAAAAGACTTATAATACGGAATAACGAAGCGTACAAAAACAATGTCTCATAAAAATGCTTTACATGAAAAATAATGGAAACAGCGTAGAAGTGTCACAAATAAATTTCTATAATCTTGATTAAGTTCTTGATGCCATTTGAAAAGCCCAACGCTCAAAGAAAATTACATTCAATAAGAGAAATGTATTTTCTTTTCAGTTGTTATTACATACATATTTACATACATACATACAATTTTGAAAATAAACTATCACACTGGAAACAGCTGAATTTTCTTCTATATTTTAACGCTTGTTGAGTGAATAACACAAAAATAATGTAAAATATTAAAAAAAAAAAAAAAGAAGAAAAACCTTGAAAAATAAAAAGATAGAAACCAAATAAAAAAATATTCAAATTGATTTAGTTTTGCTGATGTAAGATGAAAAAGTATTCGTCTTATTTATGCAATGTATGCCACATGGCTGTGGTGGTTCTGTGGCAGGCGATTAAGTCATTCCAATGTTTTCGTTCATTTCCCTGTTGTTGAGGTCCTAGTATGCATTTACCGATCAATTCTCCATGTCCAATTAAATCATGATCCCAGACACAACATTCAAGAGAGACTTTAGGTAGAATCTCTGCCGGTACATTGAATGTAACTGCTTCATTCCATACTGGGGAAGTAGTACCTCTTTTTATTGATGATTTCTTCCTCTTTACCTTTTTTCCATCGACCATTAGAGAAATTCGCACAAAGGGATCTGAAAGGTAACAAATGAGGCGCTAAAACTACGGCATAAATATTTGTTATTTCGAAAGTATTTATCAGAATAAAATTGGTTAATTCCGAGTGAAGAGTTCATTGGCTTAATAAAACTATGAAGTAACAAGCACTCTTTTCCTTTTACTTTTGTACTTTGCCCTATAAAAAGAATTAACATAGCACTGAAAAGTCTATTGCATTTTTATTGCTATTTACTAAGCTGATACAAGGCCATAAGTATGGGGCACCCAGTAAGGATTGAACTCATTACACCGTAGCAATGGCCAATCAGAATAGTCGATGTGCGTGCAAATATTTTACCGGTTGGTATTCTGCTGGCATAAAAGGAAGAGATTAAACGCAGTTACCAGAATTTTGTCATTGACAAGAACCGGTTTATTTAAACTGAAAGGCAAAACGAAAAAAATGACGCACCATTACAGTTCACACAAGCGGGTAGCACTGAATATTTGAATAATTTGAAACAGTCATTTTTGCGTGATATAGGCAACTTGGGGATGGCACTATTTTGGGGGTCGTGTTAAATCCGGACTGAAATAAATTTTCCGTAATCCTGGTTAATCTTTTCACCTATTAACTTAAGTGTGTCAAGAGTTTATTAACTACAATACAACATTTTTAAATTACCAAACTAACGAAAACATTGAATTACTTTATTAGTTTCATAAGCGGTCAATTCTGTTCTATAAAATTCACAAGAGCTGTACATTAAAATAAATGAATGAAGAATATACTAAAATCATGAGAGGTTTACTTTATAAATAATGCAGCCGAAGAAACTACCTAGATGATGCTACTACAAGAAGAAGAATCGGAAAAACAAAACAAATCAAAAACAAAAAACAATATACCAAGCAAATTAGATAAATGTAGCAAGCATAAGCTGAAGTTGTCCTTGTTGTGGTTGAGGCACGAGATTATCTCCAAGAATTTACCTGCCTAGCAAGACCCCTTTGGGATTCTTGAAATCATTGGGAGTGCGTATGTGGCAGCGCTGACTGGAACAGCACATGTGTTAAGGGAAGTATTGTGATTCTAAGATTCATGTACAAACAGAAATATGACTATCATCGCCCGACTAAAAGACTATTAGTCGGAGAAAATGTCAATAATAATAATAATAATAATAACAGGAGGAGGAGGATAATTGTTATCGCCTTTCAAAAAATATGCTAACCTGAAATGTAGACACTTTGTAAAACGGGTACAATATAAAATGAATGTAATTATGTATAAATTTATGCTTATTCAGGATTGTATATATATATATATATATATATATATATATATATATATATTTGTGTGTGTTTGTGTGTGTGTGTGTTTGTGTGTGTGTGTGTGTGTGTGTGTGTGTGTGTGTGTGAACACGTTTTGGCGCAAGTATTTATTTCAGTTTTAAACATAATTATCTTTTGAACTTTTCGTCATCAATTTTTCCTTGCATTATACTTATAAAATCTGTAATATTCTCTGACAGACCGGTAAAAACCGGTAGAGTGCAAGAAGAGCAATTCACTTTCCCGATTACTTAATCATAATGAATAGTTCTAAACATTTTTCTTTGCGTTAAAACTGAAAAAGAATGCATGCTCACAAGATGCATCTAAATGATCAACTGAAGGTGAGAGTACAATTGCTGCTGCTGCTGCTGCTGCAGTTACAGACATGAAAAGCCTTTTGCGTGGGAGAAGTGCTTTTGAGACTTTAATGGCTTTCGTATTGACTCACGCTGTTCCTTGTGTAATTAGCCGAATGTCCGTTAGAATGAGGTAATAGAATATTAAAAAGGAACTTGCGACCAGACACACTGGCTACTTAACAGCAAGACTGACATTTAAAGGTACAATAGGCAACCCTCGGCTACTCAAGGTATACAAGTCCTGTTCAAGAGGCTGGTAAACGATTAATATCGTCAAATAATCCTTCCACTGCTGAAGAATGAAACATGGTTTAGCAGTCGAGGGTTCGATCTAAACTGCTACATAAGTTTTGTTATCCGTTATAAATTGCATAAGGGACGATATTGTCCCTTATCGATTAAGCAACGATAAATTGAAAAGAAATATCAAAATTCAATTAGTATATGTGAAGCGTATAGACTCATATACGGGATGGAGCTGCTCGGTCATCTCTTTGCAACCTTGGCAGAATTCATAAGCGTTTGCGCGGCGACCTTGTTGTTGATGACTAGTTTTCCACAATACAACCACTTTCCCGCAGACGTAATATTGCAAACCTGTTGATGCTCTATCGCTATTACCATGACAAATGTTCTGACGAACTCCGTTCTGTAGTTTCACCAGTTCAGACCTAAACTATGTTACGTTCACAGGATCGAATCACTCATTCTGCGTATTCCATTTGTAAGGAGGAGGTTCCACTCAGTTTCTTCTCAAGAACCTCTAATTTGTGGAACAGACTGTCGTGTAGATCTTTCCAAAACCCCTTTAATTTTAACCTTTTCAATAATGAGTCCTCATTATTACCTCATAATCTCTACTTCCACGCGCCCGTAGCAGTCACCTCAGTAACCTGATACCTAAAGTGTCTCTAGAGTGTTGTATTTGGTGAACGTTATGTGAGTCATGCAGAAAAAAACAGTCAACGATGGTGAGTTTCGTTAGAAACATTGAAGTAAAAAGCATGTTCTTCTGTATGTATTTTCCATGAAGAAAATTTAAGCTTAATTAAAGTTGGGTAATTGTGTTTTTATCCACATATGAAAAGAAGGATTAATTTGAAAAGTTTGCACAATATAGGTACCTCCAAAGATTCGCTAAAAAATGAGAAAATCTTAATAAAAACAAAAGTTTTATCATCAAAATAATAACATTTATTAAGAGGAAAAAACAAAGGATTTTTATGTAAAAATTATACTTTTTCTCCTTTTTAAAACATTTGATATTTGGTTAATTTTTTTTTTTTTTTTTTTTTGCGTCAGCGGGTGACCATAAATTAGTATGGGAATTTTTGGCGTCTTTTTTTTTGCGGTGAAAAACACATTGATTGCAAAAATATCAGATAATTGTCGGATTTTAATGAAACTTTCAGGATTTATTCACAAATGAATGAAATTATTTTAGAAATATGTTTTCTTTTTAGAAAATCTTGGTAAAAAGATTTTTTTTACATCTTTTACATCACTCATTCATTTAATTTAATGAAATTTCGAGAAATTCATTTTTGTAGCGCTTAATGTTTATATTAGCATAAGTCCTTGGAGAATTTTTTTTGTTTTTTGTCAAACAGAACTCCCAGTATCAGAGAAGCTGCTCTGAATCGTAAAATAAAAAATGCAATAAAACTAAGATATTATTTAATTAGCAAAGTTTTTAATTACTTTATGAATAAGATATTGTCATAAAATTATTTTTTTTTCAATGAATAATGATTTTTTCCAATAATTTTTTTCACTTTTTAAAAATTTTAATTTATAGAGTTTAAAACTTTTAAAATTATGTATTAATTTTTAACAGTTACATGATATTGTTATTAAATAAGGAGTATATTTACTAATCACTAATGGAAAAGCTCAATTCAGCGACCCCCCAGTATTTTAAAAAAGAATTTTGAATTTATTTTGTGTGTGTATATAAACGTGCCGAATTTTGGAAATACAGATGTCCATACACGACATTGTCAGAAATAAGATCGGTAACTATGGTAAGCTTAAAATTTATTGATAATTTTCAAAAATGTATTGATAATTTTCTAACAAGGCTCTTCGTAAGTAAGGTATAATTTCATAAAATTCCCTAAAATATTAGATTATTTAGAATATTTTAAGATTATTGAGTAGTTAAAATATTATATAAAAAGGCGCTCACGTTATATTCGTCAAGTAATTTTTACAGCTATGTCCCCCGTAGAAAAATTCCTAATCATAAGCCTATCGATACACCTCATAAAAACACCGACCTCGTGTTAGAAAATGCAATATTTTTAATTAAAAGGTAAGTAATATTTGTTTCAAATTAGATTAATTTAACTTTAAATCAGCTAATCTTCCTCAAATAAAGTTTCAGAAAAGTATATTTTATTTTTGAAATATTTTTTTAATAAAGTAATAATCATGTTGTGTTGACCGATTCGCTAATATGGCTGATTTTTAGTAATTTTAACAATTTAAAAAAAATTTTCCAGTTTAAATTCGGTTTGAAATACAGCAAATTATTTTGTTTATTGGAAATATTAAAATTTAATCTATTAGTTTGAAATTAAAACTAAAATAAAAGCTTCAAGAATTTTTTTTTTAAATGCATTTTAAACGTTAAACATCGTTTTTCTTTGGAGACACCTACATTATAACAAATGCATTTACATCAGATTCAAAATGTTCTTATGAGTTATTATAATGAACATCATTTGCTTAAAAAGACCTAAATAAGTCATAGGATTAATCATATCTGATTGAAACTAGTAAAACTACAATTAATAACTGGAAACAGTTGGATGCATTTTCTTTTCGAAAAATATTAAAGCAGCAGTAAAAGTAACATCAACAAAATATCACACGGATTGATCATCAGATATGCATTAAAGTCAGTCTAGATTGAAATGGTTCTAAAAGTAAGTTTAATTTGGATGATCTTACCTTAGATTTTAATGCGAGACATCAGATGAGAATGCATAAAATAAAATATTTGAAACCAGGCGCTTGGTAGCGAACTTGCTAACCAAAAGAAAGCGCATCCTCCCTATAGTAACATTTTTTTTTGTTAAAAAGAAGGCAGTGTCAATGTGATTCCTAAACAACAACAACTATTATTATTATTATTATTATTATTTCCTTTGATTTGTGTTGTAAAATTATTTACTTCCGAGTCCCAACCAGAGACCTAAGGTCAGAAATCTTATCATGACATTTTCCACTGAACGTTTTTGTAATAAAAATAAAACAGCCTCAGTACACGCAGATTTTACATACATAAAGCCTTTCATAAGGTGTGATCTATACCTATGAGAACATTTTTTTTGTATTTCTTTAAGGCATAGGTTACCAGGCGTCAATGAGTCTACCAATCAAACCCGAGGCCCTGACTAGAAGTGGAATTGTTGGTGTATTCATATGTTATATTGTTGAGATTTCCAGTTCAAGATCCTTGTATTTTGATAGCTTTTTGAAGATCTTCAAAGATACATTACAATCTGCAGGAACTTCCATGTCAATAAGAACAGCACATTCTGTCTTTGTCGTCTTTGATCACAATGCCTACACGATTAGCCTTGATTGTTCTGTCTTTTTGTACTGTTAAGTCACACAAAAACTGTTACAGGTTCTATGTCTGTAACTTAGCTTGTGTGTTATCCATACCAATTTCTTGCAGTTTCCTTCCCATAAAAGTTGTAGATTTTCCAGTGCAGATATTGATCCACCCTGTCATGCCAAGTTTTATGTACCGTGCAGCCTGACACAAGATAGTCAGTTGTTTCTGGATATTCATCACAGAATTTGCTTTTGCATTATTATTATTATTATTATTATTATTATAATTTATAGATCATGTGCACACTTGATGTCTGATGTTTAACAGTGGAGATTGAGTGACAGCAAGTCTTTTCAAATCCCCAACAGCGTTCTCATTATTCTTGCAAACCTTAACCACGTCGGGATTTGGACAGTTTCAAATTTTTCTTGAGTTTCTAATTCATATACCCTCCAGTGTTGTTGGCAAAACTCCAAGTGCGCCAACTATTATAGGCTTTATTCCAATTTTCATATTTCACGCTTTCCTCGGCCCCCATTTTCCAGTGTTTCTTTCTATTATTATTATTATTATTATTATTATTATTATTATTATTATTATTATTATTTCGGTTGTCTTCTTGTCTTGGATTTTAGAAAAGATTTTCAAAGAGAGAAAGTAAACTTACCTGAGGCGCCAGCTGGTCCCATGATTCTTAATTCTTTCGCTTTAATGATCACAACAGTTAGTCTTTCAGCTGCCGGTAAGTAGCTGAGAGATACCAGTAATTCTCCCATGGAACACGTATGCTACAATGCAGCCAAGTCAAAAATTGAATGATTATTTTTAAAGTCGGGAGCATTATATTATTGAATAGACATTGTGTTAAAAAACATCCAAAGTTCATCCTTAACGACGTAACAGCAGCAAAGATTTTAAAAAATGCTTACTGAACAAATTGAATGTGCAACGATACAAATAGACATCTAGGCATATGATATGAATTTTCTAATGTAACAAACATTTTTTATTTCGTCTTGATAATGATTTTCTTTCAAAGACAAGAATAAACATTGTGTTCACAAACATTTATTATGCTATCGGTTTGATGAAAGGACACAATATGCAGTGGATTTTTTTGGTACTGGGATTAGGTACTTTTGGAATTATTCGAAAATTAAGTTAAAAAATGTAAGTTTTCCCAATGCAATTACTCGAAAAAAATATTTGTATTTTTAGTAATTAATTTCATTCCATCAAAAAAGAAACTCGCTCCAAATACTCATTCATAGTTATCACCCAAAGAGTTTATAATTTGACTATATTTTAAGACGAGAAATTTTTCGTATTCTTTTCGGATGAAATCATATCGTTGTAGTAATCTGATTCTATTAGGTTGATATAAAAGTTCCAAGTTTCATATTTTCTACAGTGTTAAGAAAATCTTTTTAATTGTCTTTGAAGTGTAATCTCTCTATTATTTGTACAATCATTCTGAATGTAAGGAAACGAGTTCCACGTGAAATTTTACGCAATGAGCATCATTCTGCGTTTAAATAGTCTAGCTGATGCGATAAAAATTCCTTTTTGGACAGTGGTCATAAAAGACGAAAAGATTTACTTGCATTCAAATCGAAGAAAAACATGGCTCGACCAAGGATGATCTTCAAAATCTCAGTCAATGGAATCTACCGAGAAAAATACTCTCTTCTGATTTTGATGAAATACAAAGATAATTCTTTCATATAAATTGCTAGATTCTGACAAAATCTGTTACTGCGCAACAGCATCTGGTTCGTTTGAATATAGCACAGGAAAAGACTTTTCTGAGAAAGGATGTTAATCATTAATTTGTCTGTATGTCAACAAATGAAACGCAACATTTAATCATGGTGCTCGGGGTGAAAGGTCTTGCATATACAATGCATTCGTCTCAATTATCATTTACATTAAATGCTCTGTTAAATACTATTTGTGAGATCAGCGATTTCAAGAAGTTGAAAATATCTAAAATGCTTCGAAGAATTCATCGAATTAAAATGGAATCATTATTTTATACTAGAATATACAGTTTTTATGAAAGATAGGATAAAGTTATAGATAAATCATAGAAAAAAAGTGAAAACACTTTGATGTAAACCTAATTTGATAAAATGCAGGAAACTTTTATGCCAATGCTTCAATGAATTTAACATTTTCGTGTGTTTATAATTCTCATACAAATTTCAAATATGTTTACATTTGTAAAATATTCAAAGATTATGAACTTACAGAATATACAATTACTTCAAACAATTGTGAGTCTATTTGAATATAACCAACCCACAAAAAATTGTAACTAGTTTTCAATAACACAAAACTTGTTCACGTAAAATCATGCAGGAACGAAAAATATTTTGTAATACAGTGGCAGTGACATCTATCAGATATTACAAGCACATTAATTATTTCTTTGTGTTTATGGTAGCGGAGATTCGTTAAGAAAATATCAAAATTTTATCAGCTTTGATCTACCACATCAGCTTCACTTATTAATCACTGTCACTGTTTTCTTCCGTTCTTCTAAATGATCCCGTTGGTATTATTGTTTGGTTGATGTCAAAACAAAAACTTCATATCTACAGATTACACCAAAGCTGACTACGACAACTTCAGATCTTACATTGAGGAGGATTTCGGTCAGCTTTCTCCAAATTGATTTTCCGGAATAGCCTTTCTCATTTTTGAATTGATCCTCTCCGGAATGGAAAGTTTTATCCTAACAAAACATAACAACAAAAGCCAAATAGCCGACCATCTCTATAAGAGAAAACAGTGTAGCAGAACTCTTGCCTCATTTAGAACTGTCCGTAATCATTGTAAAAGGTTATTGGAAAATGCAAAGAGTAACTATGCACAGGCAGTCCAAGCCAAAGTTGAAGGGTCAAAACACTACGAAAGTGTAAATATATTGACTGTAATACATTTTTTGAAAAAAAAAATATTACCAGCAATACATTTGATTCTTGTGACATGATTCTCGTTATTTATATTAAAAATAATTAAGTTGAATTAAATCAATTATTTTGAGTATTGATGTTTAATATAAATTTCCATCCTAAAATTTATTAATTCATCTTTTGTTCTGTATTTTATTTCTTAAAAATTCTATTTCTTAAAAATACTGCCTTGACCACTTTTAAATTGGGTCAACGGTCAATTTCATATGAAACATTCGAAGATTTTAATTTTATATTTGGCAATCAATTGTAAAGAGTGTCCCTATACTAACTGATCAGACAGATTGCGGCTGTTTTATCAAAAAGACATAAATACTTTTATCCTTTCTCTGTGGGCGAAATACCACGTAAGATTGACTATTGATATTCCAGGGACGGAAAGTAAAAAGAAAAATAATCTTCCAGGATTATCAGGAATTCAAAAGCGAGGATCATATATGAATGAAATGCAAAATGCTTTCAGGTTGATAAACAAGCAACACTGATTGACCAAAGCAATTCTATGTGTAAAGGGAAATATTTCAAGATCCTTCTACTATAAACTCTCTACTCTAACTATAAAAAAAGAAGAAATAAGAATCAGTAAAATAATAATAGCCGTTGATCAATAAAATCATTGATGACACAAATGGCCGTTGAATATTCTTATAATAATCCTTATATTTTCTTTCTTTTCCTTTATTCTTTATTTGTTGTTTCCTTCTCCTCTCACTCTATGTTTTTATATATTAAAATAATTATAACTTTATTATATCTCGTATTTTTCTTCGATACGTTGCCTGCGTTGGTATTGATCCCTAACTGATTAGAAAATCACTTTTTTGTAGAAATGAACCGCATGCTATGTTTGAATTTTGTTAAACGATAAAATTTGTAACACTCTCAACAAAAACCGTCTTTAAAAAAATACGATAATGAAACCTAATCCACAAACTGATTTCTTACAAAGTATACATATTTTATGCATCCGAACCTATCATAAAAATCTTATGGCCAGTAAATAACCCATTAAGGTTGATGTGCCGTAAACTAAAATAAACCAAACTAAACCAAATCAAAGTTAAAAAGAAAAAAAATAGATCTCCGCAGTTTTAAAAAAGCAAATATTATTTTTGATAGAGGCATTGTCAGTATTTTCCATTATAAATGGAGCCGAGGTAATCCTCATCGGATGAAGCTAAGCTCTTCGCAATGAACTTCGCCTATAAATCCCCGTGGTTGTCCTTAAGAACTTGAAATCAGAGCCATCTTCAATCTTGACAAATCTGTGTAACCGCTGCCTGAAGAAGTGTTTCTCAAGCGCATGGAAGGTGTTAGCTGCATGCTCTGTTTACAAGAATTAGGGTAATCGCTTGTTCCCGTCACAATGTCACACTATCAGCAACATTTTTGAAGCTATCATCAACATGAAAGTTGTTGATAACCTGAGTGATGCTACCCAAACTCTTCAGCAATGAAATCTCTGAAAGAGTCTTCTCAGTTATCAAGTATATCAGATCGATCAATAAAGGTCGGTTTTAATGGCCAGTACTCTGAAGTACATGAGATCAGTGCTGGCATCCCAAGGCTTTCTCCTCGACCCTACCCTCTTTTTGTTTTAGATCAACAATCTGCTCAAGAATATTGCCAGATCTTTAGCAAATATACCAAAAATCTGGATGACCAAGGCTGAAAAGCTGATCTCTCCGCTGAGGTGTTGGACAGGCATTTATCATTCAATACCTATGTAACAAAGTTTGTAACGTTTCATCATCATTGATCAGACTCTAAATTTGCTTCAGTCCTGATGAGCGGACAAACTCTCAATGAGGTTCCTTACATCGAACGTCTATTTGAACTAAAGTTCATTCCATACCTCAAATGAAGCTTATATTTGTGCCATTGCAAAAGATGCTGGAAGAATGGTCGTTTTCTGGTATTGTTTCAGAAAATACTAAACTTCACTCGGTCTTTACAAGAGTCAGATCAAACAAAGAATGGAGTATTGCTCCCATATCTGAGCCGGTAGTGTCCAGTCCTCACTGTCCAGCGTTGAGAGAGTTAAAAAGCGATTACGCTAACTTGTCCACCGTGCAACCATTTCCAACAGTCAAAACGTTGTTAGCCTCTCACTACTCTATTGCTATGGCAAACGTTCAAACTGGTTAAATTCCTTAGATCCACCAGTTCAGTCCTTCACAGCTAGGACACATCATGCTACTTAATCATCTTAATTCTCTTTATTATTCCTTTTGTAAGGAGGAAGTTGCACTAAGTCAGCATCTTCTCCAGAATTTTCACTCTGGGGAACCGACTTCCGAAAGGATACTTCTTCTAAAACTACAATTTATATCCTACATATCCTCATAATATGCACTTCTTCTGCTCTCCTTCTGCAACAATCTCACTCTTGAGCCATGTATCGGGTGGACAATATTAGAAAAAAAGGATCGGTGAAGTTATCGGAAACTAATTTCACAAGAATCTTGAATGTGTAAAAATGATACAAAAGAAATTTAGCCTGGAAATATCATTTCAAGATTCATAGTGGGTGCCTTGCCAAAATCAATAAATATGAGTTGCCTTTTTCTTTACAAGCCTGAAAGATATTATTATTATTATTATTATTATTATTATTATTATTATTATTTCATAATATATTATCTTGCTTAATTTTTCTTTCTGTAGCGCATCGATAACATTATCTATGTCATTGTTGTTTATATATTTTCCTTTTATGTTTAGTCTCTCTCGCTCTTTTTTTTTCTCTCTCTCTCTCTCTCTATCTATCTATCTATCTATCTCTTTCTCTCTCTTTATACTCGTTAAGT